AAGTCGAACAGAAGTTAGCAACGGCGTGAAAACTCTTGCTTAATACATACACGAGAGTATTATGTTACACACACACAATTAACAGTAACGCGTAACAGTTGCAAAGAATGTTAAAGAGCAAATGTAATGTAAGCTATATTTCAGGCACTTTACGTATGATTTAGACAAGATATAATTGTTGGACTTGTAGAAGTCTGAAGAAAGAGAAGAATTCGCTTTTATTTAACTTTGAACCATGATAGAAAATATACATATTTTTAGACCATTTCAAATGGAGCGCAGAGACTTTGCCAAGACAGTCTCAATTGAATGGGGCTGTGCATCAAATCAGTGCTGCTAAAAGCAGACCAAATAGGCTTTCAATAGTATTGTCATATTTCATTAGTAGGTTTAGTGTACTAAAAGGATATTTTTATTAGCTGAAACATAATGCGTTAATTACGCTTTTTGATTTTTAGAATCGATTTTAGTTAAGGCTACTTGAACTGTTTCAACTGTTTATTGGGTATATTAGAGCCAAACCGCATTCGTACATGTGGGAAATGTATTTGCGAGGCGTGAAATTGGTGAACTGAAATAGCAGCAGAAGTTGTGGTTGGTATTGGAGATAGGTAGAGGGAACAGTAGCTAGCTACAGGTTCTACTAATTAGTGGGCAGCGGCAGTGGAAGTGGAGCTCGCCTCAATTGCTGTTGCATGTTCCTTAGTGTGCGTGTGTATATTATTGTCTCTGAGTGTGTGTGTGTGTTATATGTGTTGCAACGTTTCCTTTTCTTGTGCTCCTCAATTGGTTAATGGCCAATCAATAAATTCCAATTCTCACAATTTTACTGCAATATCTTGTACATGGGGTGCCACTGCAGCGTTTTACCCACAATTTATATCTCAGCCATCTCATCTGTTACACAAGTGTGTGTGCTGTGTGTATCGGTGTGTGTGTGTGCTGTAGATAGAACGAGCTGCCATTGCCATTTGCCGGGTCTAGGCTAAGATTTGCATGCACAGCACATGGGGCACTCAAAAATTGCAATAGCTTCGCCTCCACTACCTTCTGGCTGCCTGGCCTCCTAGTTGCCTTGGCTATCCTGGCAGCTCCTTTTGCTCGTTGTGTGTGGGAGCGTCACGTAAGCTGCATTTAAGAGCATATACATTACATACGGATACGCTCCATTAATATGTATCCCTTGCATGCCTGCTCACGCCTACTGCTCTATGCTTACAGCCCATAACACTAAATTCTTAGCAGCCACCTACACATATACATATACATATCCATACACACACACCCACACAGTCACCCATGCAAAGACATCGGAAACAGGCCCCATGACCTATTACATGACGAAAGGAGCTGTTAAAGAGTTGCCAACACACTTTTGTGTGCATGTGTGTGTGAGCATTAAACTTAAACGTATTAGACCATATTAGTTGTATACATTATAGCCAAATTGCAATACAAGGCAGCCACTTCAAAAGCTTGAATGCAGACAATCGATCAAAAGATTAGGGAGTGAGAGAGAGAGTGAGAGGACAAGTCCTTAAGCAGCTACTGCATATATATTTATAATTGATGCAAATTGAGACAGCAACAGCTTTTAGCTTTCAGCTTTCCGGCTAGCGTGAAAAGCGTCAAGTTTCTGTTACACTGAAGCCTCAGCTGAGAATTAATGAAAAGCATAAATTACTGATTTAAATCCATATAATATTAACCGAAATAGATGACAATTCGCCCAAGCGGAAGTGGATAATGATTTGGGGAAACTTGAAATGCCAAAGGCAAAACTGCATAATTTTACGTTACATGGGAGCAGATGAGACGACGTTTACCATTTATTGATCTGTGATGAAATGAATGCAGCAGCCAAAACAATGTTTAGATGTTAAGTGCACGACAATGTTATTAACAAAGCACAGCCAGTGAAAATGTGTGAGTTAACAAATTAACAGGTCAGCTGCAGGCATTTATATAATTCATTCACACTCAGGATGCGCACAGAGTTGATTCATTTGTATCCAGATGAAAAGACTGAAGAGCATGAGTCATTGAATGCGGCGCTAACAAAGGATTATTATTTACAGAGGTTCTATAGTTGTTAGGAGACAACAATAGACAGCAGTCGGTAAAACATTTTGTTTTGATCGCGCATCATCAAACAGAAAAGAATGTGGTTAATATGTGAGTTTAAGTGACGCAGCTGCAAGCCAGGGATTATGGAGCTAAGCAAAAGCATTTAACCGCAGAGTGTTCATTGGCATGCGTATCTCGAGTGTACAGTGTGCATGGATTAATTGAGTAATTAATTGGAGTAATTAACAAGTATACGTTGTATATGCTAGAAATAACACATATAACACCTGAGCTTCAATGTTCACAGCGTAATGCAGCTACGACTCAGGTATGTACCATCTGATGGCTTAAGCTGTCTGGTGTTTATGGCACTCGATTGTTGCACTTGCAAGCCGTAAATTCGACCCTTTCAGCTGCTACCTAAACTTCAATGACTCGTGTCAATATCCAATGCGTGCGACCTGCTGTTGAATCTCCAAAAAATTGTACTAGTTTTTCGGCATTTTCTATTCCTTTTCTGTGGTCTGGCTGTAAACGGTGCCATCGAAATAATATTTCGAAACGATATTGGGCAAGCGATAAGCATAATTGCGGCAATAAAAGTTTTCAACTTTTATACGACAAGCTACAACAAAAATCTCTAAAAAATATGGCAGACAGGCTAGAAGAAGCGCAGGAGCAGAGACGTGGACGGCGCGCAGCGAGCGGAACGCAGTCGTAAGCAGCGCTTGCTTACGCGCAATTGCCGTAGCTAAAGCGCGCCATACACACCCAGCCACATGCATAGATACGAGCGCACACACATACATATGCAAGCCACTTGCAAGCAGAGAAACGACATTGATGCGCATTCATATGTACGCATAACAATGCAAAGTTTATGCGTTGCCAACCACATTCAGAATGATGGGAAGGAAGGGGTGGGGAAGCGGGTGCTAGGCGACGTGAGCCAGCTGCCTCTTAGCACATGCACACACATACGCATACATCAGCCGGCACAGTGTGCGTGTGCGTGTGTGTGTGCGCGATAGCATTTGTGTGTGCTTGAGCTGTTGCGTATGCAACGGTTTTTCTTTTTTAAACATTGCAGTTACCTTTGATTTCAAGCGAAAGGAAGAGGCGAGTGATAGAAGCAGAGACTCAGTTGAAGTAGGTGCGTGCAGTTGAAGCAAGGGGCTCAGTGTTATAGAAGGCTAATGTCATATGAATGCCGCTCAAGAATTGTTATTGAAATTGTTTTTGCCGTAAAATTTTGTTGGCATGGAAGAGGAAGCAGATGCTAAGGATACTTACTTGTGCCACCAAATGAGAAATCGCCTGAATTGCGGAGAGCGAAAAGAGTAGAAAATATAAAAGAGAAAAGACATAATGGGAAACGGGTGAGTACTGCAGTTTACATAAAAATTCACGCAAAAAAACCCAAAAGCTATAAACTCAAAAAAAAAAAAAAATTAAGTAAAATCCAATTGTTGAGAATTGTTGAAAAATCCTGGCAGCGTTTGATCAAAATGTATAAAATAAACAGAAGGAGATATAGAAAAACAGTTAGTAAATTTATCTTTTGTTATGTCAGGGGAGGGAATACTCACTTGTCTCACCCGTGGTGCAAGTCGCTGGTGCCGAGGGCGGGCCACGCCCAATGTTGTTAACAGCTATCACATAGAATTCGTATTCCGTATAGGGACTCAGAGCTCGGACCACATAGTACATGGTTATAATGCCGCTGATCTCACTAAAGGCCTGATTCGCATTCTTCGGCTTATACTGAATGACATAATACTGCAGGTCTTCGGGTCCCTTGTAAGACCACTCCAGGCGCACTGAAGTTGCGGTTACTTCGGAGATTTGCACATCCGTAGGCGCCGTTGGCAGTGCTAAGCATAGACAGAGAGAAAGATAAAGACAGTTAGTATGAAGAGATGTGTTGAGCCGTGTTTTATAAATCGTCCAGTATGAAGGATTTAATTCAAATTCCCGATTTGTTTTACGACTTTAAAAATAAAAATTCTCAAAAATTCTGAACATCTTAAAAAGTTGAAAAACGTTTCATATGTTGAATCGTAAGCTGTCTTACAGTATATTTTAGAGTTTTGTAGTTTTCAACTGCCACTTACATTGCACTTTAACCACGGATACCGCATCGATCTGGCCCAGCGAGGAAGCAGCTATGCAGGTGAAGTTGGCGCTCTCTTGTATATTATTTAACTGTAAAACATTCCGACCTATGGGTATGTCATTCTCCGGTGTCAGATCTTGTGCACCTGCATATATGATAATAGAAAGAGAGAGATTAGCACAGTTAGCCACGTTATTTTCTTTTGCACTAAATATTACCCTTCATCCACTTGACGTGCGGCATGGGTGAACCGACAGCTACGCATGATAGATTTAGATTGGAGCCCAGCATCACTTCGCTTATGTGCTCTGGTGGGCGGGAGAAAGTGGGCGGGACGCGTCGTACCTTCACATACAAATTGTTGGCCTTTGAGTGCTCCGTACCAATTATGTTCTCTGCCACGCATTCGTATTTGCCCTGATCCTCTTCGGTGCTGTTATTGATTTGCAATACACCTGAAAGAGAGTAAAGAAAAAAAGGAAAATATGAAAATGGGTTAGATTACGTTACAGCTTATGACCCTATAAGAGAAGGCAGATCTCACGCGGACTATATTGCCATAAACTACTTAAGCACAAAAGGATTTTTTGCCAACCCCTTCTTAGAGGTAAGTTTGGTTATACACTACCTAACTCGCACTACATTCCCAGCTACCTGATTGCGTATAAAACATGCAGCTTTACTAGGCACTAGCTCAGTTACTTATTGCCCACTTAAGAAGAACTACTTGAAAATGCTTCGATTACTGCCACTCTTATTGCTCTGCAGCTGTTGGGGAATCGTTCTGACCACCAGTTACGTGACAGTTGATAGTGCTATGCAACCTGCTCTTGCAGAACAATTTGAGATGCTGGATCTGCTGGACTTGGGGGACAGACCCAGGCGTATGGTCCAACCAACCGAGCTTCATAATTCGGCTTCAAAGTTTTTGCTGGAAGTGTACAATGAAATTAACGAGGAACAGGAGCCGCAGGAGGTGCTGCAGCAGCGACACAAACGTTCGCTGACCGATGACATATTGCTCACTCAAGAAGACCGTCAGGAGATGGCCAGCTGCAACAGCATACTGACCTTCTCCAGCCGTGCCCAGCAAGATGAACCGGATCAGCTGGATATGCACATTACATTTAATACGAACGATGTGCCAGTTGATCTAATGCTGATGCAAGCCACACTGCGCATCTATAAGCAACCCAGCGAACAGGAGCGACGCGGAAATCTGACAATTTCTGTTTACAGAAGGATTCACAGCCATCAGCAAGACACAGACACTACTCCTGTCTACCATGTTCTTAACTCTGTGAACACTACGGCTCATTACAAAGGCTGGCTGGAGTTTAATCTGACTCCCACGCTGCGCACCTGGCTGCTCAACAGGAATCCACAGCGACACGAACTGCGCATCTCATTGGGGGAGGAAGCACAGCTGAGTGCTTTGCACGCGGGCTTGGTGGCTCCACAGGATATCCACTCAAATCTGCAGCCCTTCATTGTGGGCTATTTTAATGGACCTGAGTTGTTGGTGAAGGTGCAAAAGCTGCGCTTCAAGCGGGATCTGCAGAAGCGTAAAGCCTCTCAACCACGGCCACCTCCGCCGTCCGATCTCTACAAGCCGCCGCAGTCTTGCGAGCGCCTAAACTTCACAGTGGATTTCAAGGAGCTGCAAATGCACAATTGGGTCATTGCACCCAAGAAGTTCGAAGCGTACTTCTGCGGCGGTGGCTGCAATTTTCCACTGGGCACCAAAATGAATGCCACGAATCATGCCATTGTCCAGACTCTGATGCACCTGAAGCAGCCCCACCTGCCGAAGCCTTGCTGTGTGCCCACTGTACTAGGCGCCATAACCATCTTACGATACATCAACGAAGATATTATAGACTTGACCAAGTATCAAAAGACGGTGGCCAAGGAGTGCGGATGTCATTAAGAGGTTTCAAATTGATTTAAGTTATTTTGAGCGCAGCTACAGAATAAATTGTAATTAAGTCAGTAAGTTTAAGTTACAATTTTTGTACATTATATCATTTAAGAAATGAGAATAAAAATAATGTAAGATATTTAAATTTGATGTTTAACGTGGATCAAAACAGTTCTGTGGTGGCATAAAGGAATGGAACTGATTGGAAACAAAGCAAATGTTGAAAGCTAAAGACATGATGAAACAAGGTTAGTATTTGAAATTTTAAATGCTTTTCCTCTCAATTCATTCTTCTAAGACGTTTTCAAAACATCTAGATATATGTTTTCTTAAATTTTAGTGGGTTCAAATGCTGTTCTGTACATGCTTAAGCTTATAAAACTTTAAGTTGCTGCCTTTTATAGCTTACGAATGTCGACACTGATTAAAAATATATATATATATTTATGTTCCATAGATTTTTCCAAAATTATTCCCATTTCAATGCTATGGCGGCATAGCAAAATACTAAGGCATTAGATGAAAAATAATAGTAAATTTATATAGCCAACTTATGAAAAGAGAAAAGGCTGGCATAAAAAACTTTTAAGGTGAGCATATTTCAAAACACTTTCCTAGCCGAAAATTTAGCCTATAAAACATAAAACAGCAACAATTGCTGAAAATAAGCAAAGTTGAATTTTTGCAGGCGATAAAATTGATGAATGTTTTCAGAGTACACATCCTATTAAATCCGCCTGAACTCATCATTAAGTACAATTTCTATATGTAACATTATATAAGCAAATTTTGAAGGTAGGCAAAAGCTTTAATGATTTATTGCCACAAAGGAAGGCATATGTAAGTACTGCTTAGATCTTAGATTTATCATATAAATTTGAAAGTCAAAGTGTGGGCCTTCATTTCGCTTCCTTTAATGGTCGAACCCACATGATACTCATTGTAGCCATAAAATGGCCAGAATTTACCTTTTTACGAGAGTGAAGGACGCAGGAGTAGGGCGGAGCAGGCAGCAACACATGAAAATTAACACAATTTTTTATATGTATATGATTTTAAAGGCCGCATAAAAGTTATGACAGTGCAATCTGCCATGAGGTCTATTAAATATCGAGCGCACTTTTCCGGCATATTAAGCTAATGTGAATGACACATATAAAGCGCCATAAACTCAGAGCGGGCAGACCCTCGCATTATATTTATATGACCAATAAACAAGATGAAATATGCACGCCAAACAAGCTAATTCCGACACACATTGAATAAAACTCCCGCTCAACAGTTTCTAATGAATATATAGAAGGTAAATGCTCAGCTTTTGAATTGAAAATATCAATTTTAATACAATGTTCTGCTTGCTGCTTTATAATGAAGCAATTTTGAAACGATTTTATTGATTATATTCATCTAATTTGGTGTTTCAATTTGCGTGTTGGCTACGTCCACCAATTAATCTTCTGTCTTAATTTCGGATATTTTTCAATACGAATTTATTTGCGAGTCAATTTGAGAGATATTTATGCGAAATATGCGCATGAAATATGCATGATATATGAAAACAATTCATTTGAACACATTTCCACATTTTCACATAGCAACATATATATCAAATATTTTATTTGTGTGTGAAATATTCGCAGATTTTAATCGTTTCATTATTTATAGAGCGCATTTTTATGCGATAAAAATTGTTGCAGCACTTCACTTGGTACGTCCAGATTTTATGGCACTCTCTTTTTTTAATTACTATTTTTCATACTCTTTATGTGAAGGTGCTTTGAACGGAAATGACCGAAGGGGTAATACACTCATGTCCATTGCAGAGGCTAAGGTGTCTACGTCTGTAATTTATATCTGTAATTTTATTACAGGGTACAAAACAAGGAGAGTGAATCGATAACGTAAGTTCAATTTTCGAAAAGAATGATTCGTGATAAGTGCTTCAGCATTATACATATTTAAATTGGTAAATGTCAAGGCAAACACAAACTATTTATATAAATAATAAACAAACATTTATACATGTATTCATAAAAGCCATACAAAATGTACTCATACATATAAATGTATTTGTACATATAAAATAAATGTTAATATATTTGATGGTCAGCTTATTAACTTCTGTAAGCCGCATGGTCTTTCATGAAACTCCCGGATTGATTTTATTTTGTATACATTTTTTTATATTTGTATTTATGTTATTACTTATATTATTATTTTTTTTTATTTGTATGTGTTTTAATAAAACATAATTGTCATAATTAAATTTTTTAAATAAACATTTAAAATAATCTCAATAATTACCTTTAAGAAAGACTAACTACAGCTATGTGCAAGTGACAAATGCCCAACGTGCTTATTTGAACATCAGAAAATGCTGAGCCCGTTTCTTATTTTTGTCTTGCAATACGAAAAGTGAAATCAACGTGAGTGGAAGTGTGAAAGTACAGAAAGGGATTATTCAAAGTGTGGCTATTGGTAGTGCGCTGGATAGGACAGTTGTATACAAGTGTGTGAGTGGCAAAATAGGGAGAACAGCGCTGGCTGAATACATTTACCCAGTAAGTCAGCTGGAGCAATAACAAATCCCGAGGACTACATACCGTAATTATTACTATAATAACATTGAGTAGCTTTATTTGTACAACAAATATAGCCTATGCTCATTTATCACAATGTCTGATAGCTCGTTTGAGCAAATTGTTGCTGCCTACCGCAAATCGGCAGCTCGGCCATTACTGCAAAGAACATGGGAGAGTTGTCTAAGGACGCCTTTGTTGCCGATCTGATCATCCACAATAATCTATATTTAAATTATAATTCACAATTAAGTCTATTTAATTTTAGGCACAACTTATTTTAAATAAAATATCGTATTCAATTTTTTTTTTAATAAAATATAACATTTTAAATGCTTGAGGACAGGTGAAATAAATTCAATTTTCAGTTCGGGCTGAAATTGACAAATACTTTCACGATTTTAAATGTCAACAATTTGCTTTTTTATTTTTCATATATGTTTTTTTAATAAACTGTAAAGAATGAAAAATGTTGGTTTGTGGCTAATGCAAATAAAGTATTCATAGCTGTAGATGTTTCACTTTTGTTTGGCCAGATAAATGTTTGTTGAATGTTTTGTTGCTCGCCAACTAATGAAAATGTACTACACGCCTTGCCCCGTTGCCAAAAACAAAAAAAAAACGGTGAAATGGAAAATGAACCACAGCGAAAGGAAATGCAACAATACGCGGCATGGCACACACACCCACACACACACTAAATACAGTTGAGTGAATCATTTTAATGACTCTTGTTGCCCTTGCTCCCCCCGCCGTGCACTTTCTCTTCCCTTCAAGCCCCCATTGCCTAGCAAGTGTCTGGGTATAAATTGTAGAAATGCCGAGCCGTGCTAAATGTTGCAAAAATTGTTCTACTACTCGTGTACCGTACAATAGGTAACAAATAAAATACAAATAAAAATAATCATAAAAAGCGAAAGAACTAAAAATGATGACGTCTGCTGCCGTTGCTGTGCTGATGATTGCAGCGCGTTTTTATTTTGCCTCACTGTGCAAAATGTTTCTTTTTTTTTTGTGTTTTAGTATTTGTATGTGTCTGTGTCTGTGTCTGTGCTTGTGCGAGTATGAGTGTGAGTGTGAGTGTACGTGTTCACCTACATGCATCAAAGTTGATTGTTTCGAAATTTATTGCATACTTTTTGGCTGCACATTTATTACGCTTGTTGCGCTTTCCGGGCCGCGCAATTGCTGCTTTTATCGTTGTTGTTGTTGCTGTTGTTGTTTAGGAATCGCTGAACCATTCAAACAACCATTAAATGCCACTGCATTTTAAATATTGCTCCTCGTTTTTGTGTGTGTGTGGATGTGCTCACATCAACCTTTCACACACTCTCTTCCCACTCTCGCTCTCTCTTTTGCTCTGGACATTTGCATATGCTCTGCAGGTGGAATCTTTTGCACCCAAAAAAGAAGAAATGTGATTAAAATTTATGGCAAGCAACTTTCATTAAAATTGCTCGCAAGCTGGCAAAACATTAACATAAGCCACACACACAAAGCTAGGTGAGTGTGGGTACGGGTTTTGGGCCTGCAATAAAAATTAAGCTATGAAGCACTTGAGAGTACCGCCTGACTGTCCCCAGTGTTTGTGTGTGCGTGTACATGGTATATAACTCTTATGAAAATTAAAAATTCTTTTAAGCATCGTAAAAGTAAAGAAATTGCTAACGCTGCGAATGCTCTGCAAAATTGGCTGAAATAGCAACTGCTCAACATCAAATGCAGAGTGTTGACTGCACATAAAACTGAGTAGTTGGTTAAAGTCCTGCCTTTGGAAGCGACGTCATCTGGATTTATGTGAGAGAAGTCAGCTTCTAGTGACTCCTTTTAGTGAAATAATGAGGTCTGCTGCCAAATTTGAATAGTCAATTACGATTTGATTCACACTAAAAACAAATTCAAATCGCGTAATTGGCATGCTTTGACTTGTTAATCGAACTGGAAGATTCTGTTGAAATCCCTTCTGAATGGCTCTGTATAGGCTGCTTCGTAACCACTCAGACAATGCCCGAATAGTTTGCATCATTCTGAAACTGGCGCTCAATTTGCTGGTGCTTTTAATGGCCGTAACGACCATTTAAGCCAAGTCAATCACAGAAGAGCTGTGCTGAACAGGCGGCAGTAGAAGGGAAACTCCGACTGGTTTGGCGTCTTTTGTGGCCGTGTTGCCATTAACAACAGTGGCGAGACAATGCCGCCTGCCAATACAAACGACGAGGACCTGTGCCCCAGACTGTGTTTGGCTGCGCCCTAATCCCGCTTTCAGCTGCGTCGCCTTCGCCTCGCTCAGCTACGGCTACATGGCACACATGTGGCATGCCACAACTGCACTTCCGCTTGCGCAGTCATTTTCATATTTTGCAACTTCCGTAGCCAGACGCACACACACATACACAAGAGTAAGGACAGGGTGGGAGACAGGGGAAGGGG